CAAGTGGCTTGAGGTGGGGGGGGGCAGAGGGCATTGCTCCCCTGCCAAGCAGGAGCCAATGAATGGGTTTGGGTTGTTTGTTTTTGTTTTTTTTCAAAGAGCTGGGAGCTGGGGCTGGGCAAGACAGCCATTGAGGGTGAGCGGGCAGGGGATGGGGCTGATTCAGAGATTCAGCCGATTTGGCAGCAGCCCAATCTCTGAATCAGATTCAACTGAATCGATTCAGGACAGTGATTCAAAACACCAAACTGAATCACTGTCCCCCGAATCAGCCGAATCTGAATCCAAAGTGAATACTAGCCACTTTGCACAGGCCTATTAAGTACCTTGGATCCATAAAATTTCTTCTGGACTTTGGCATCTAGTTTTTCCAAGTATCTCAGCCTTTCATTTAGGTAGGGAGAGCCTCTCTGGTGATACTTATCACTGTAATTAGACTGAGAGCCAGAGAGAACCATAAGACCCATAGAGACATAATACAGACATATACAGACCACCTCTGAGAGTTTCTGTTGTACAGGAAGTCCTTCAGAGATGCTACCCTCATACAGATATAGTAAAAGCAAGGAAGATGGATCTTGTACTTACCCTTCCAGGTGTGGTACAGCCCATCAGGCAACATGATTTGTCAGCTGCTTTCAGTACCTCCTCCAGCTTAAAAATGGGGGCCTTCAAATCAAGCTGCAGTTGGACTCCCCCTGTGAAGTCCACTAAAGCTTCTGAAATGTAACCCCAGTGCAAGTTCTGATAGGAGCCTCGTAACCTGAATAGAAGGGAAATGTATTTGTCCATATAGTCCATCTTAATAAGCAATGCACAAAGGAAATTTAACTAAATGAATTCCCATTTAAAGCCCTCTGAGTACATAAGCAAAGGCATTGTGTCAGGAGGAAGGGATATGTGCACACCTAGGCTAGAGACATAAGTTACACATAACCCAGTATAAGTTTATTGGAAACTGGTTCTAATCTGTAAACAACAGAAGTTCAGTATACATAAACCACTTGAAAAATGGCTGAAACTAGTTTAAGGTAATCTGAATGGATGTAGTATCAGACTTAACTGATTTAGGTTAAATCAGTTTATTGAAATTCTGTCCCAGATCTCCTCTAGATTCAAGTTTAACTTAGTCCCCCAGAATCCCAGGATGCTTTATGCCTCCCCCACAACACCCCCAAC